ATCCTTTTGAAAACGGTACTTAAGTATCCAAAAAACAACAAAAGGACAAACGACAAAAGGATTAAAGTATTACAGACAAAATGCTTGGAAATGATATGATTTAGTGTCAAAAGCAACTGACAGATATAGTGAATACAAATAATCACCAATATGTACAATATTTGAAAGAAAGAAAGAGTCGGGCTGGTTTACTTTCCTGTGGAATCAACCATATGTGGTCATAAGTGATTTTTTGCTAAACAGTTATTTCAAACATAAATTTTGAATAAATTAGCTTCAGTATTTACTGATTTATGGATGATTTCGTATATCTGTAAATGACCGTTATATGGGATGTGGGCGTGGTTATTGTCCAATTTTAAAAATTTTCAGCCGTTTGGTATGTTGTATCAGGACCTACAACTCTGCCAGGTTAGCAGAAATTGGTGAAGCGGTTTCACGAGATATAAGTGGGCGTGTCTACGCCCATTTTCCGAAAATGTATAATACTCATATTTTACGCCTAAATATCATTGCAAATATCAAGTTTGAAGTGAATAAAAATATCGCTGTTTTAGTATTTCTTAAAACTACCGTTACAAAGGAGGTAGACGTGGTCCGATATCGCCCATTTTCAATACTATCCGTCCTACGTTCCAAAGGAGTAGACATACCGAGTTCCGTTAAGATATCTCGATTTTTAGTCAAGTTATCGTGTGCACAAGCGAACAGACAGTCACGGATTAATCGATTTATTTTTACATTCTGAGCATTTATGTATACATTTGTCTATATCTATCTCGATTCGTTTTGGCTGTTAGGTTAGGTTAGGTTAAGGTGGCAGACCCGCAAAGGGGACTCATTTAGACATTTGATTGTCCATTGTGANAAGGTGGCAGACCCGCAAAGGGGACTCACTTAGACATTTGATTGTCCATTGTGATACCACATTACATAGGAACGGTAACTGCGTAAAAATTACGAGAAGCGCTGGGTGCTCATAATGAAGTTCTTCAAACAGCTGATGTCCACTCCGGAGAGTCCCTCGGGAGTGTCGATGAAATGCGCACCGAGATGCTTAAACCGTAATCTAGCGAATGCCGGGCAGTTGAGTAGGAAGTGCTGAGATGACTCCACTTCGTCTTCCAGGCAACTGCGGCAGTAGGGATCCGTGACGATATTGAGTCGCACCGCGTGGGTTCCCATTGGACAGTGTCCGGTCAGTACACCTGTGAAAATCGAGAGCTGACGCTTAGCCAGCTGCATTAGCTCCCTTGACCGCCCGCGGTCCACAACCGGCCAGAAGGACCTTGCAACTCTGCAAGTCGGGGTTTTTTCCCAGCGCTCGCTGAGCCGACCATGAGCCCATCTGTCCAAAAGCAGGCCGCAGGTTGCCAACGGAACTCCAATGCCCTCCCTGTCCGAGGTGATGGCCTCAAGGGTGCCTTGCCTGGCCAGTTCATCAGCCCTGCAATTTCCCGCGATATCACTGTGCCCCGGGACCCAAATCAGCTTGATCTGGAAGTACTCCGAGGCAGTTTTGGCTGTTACAAACAACCGTTATGTGAACAACGTTATAATACCCTTATGCACAAGTGTGCTCGGGTATAAGAAGACTAGATACTCTATTTGTTAGTTAGAGTTTAAAAAAAAACACCGTCAGTGATCCGATAACTCCAAATTTATATTTCCTTTATATTTGCGCTTCGATGAGAGTAGGGCTCGATTGAAAAAAGATTCTAACGCCTCTTTACGTGAAATTTAAAAATAGTTTATATTGAACACCATCAAACGCAAGGTAAGTATCCAAGAAATTACATTACCAAGATGTTTGGATAACTTGATAAAAAACGGGGAAATATTTAGTTACTTGCACACTTTTTTGGGGTAGTAGGCGGAGGGGAGAGCGCTTGGCTCTTGAAACCCTACCCACTAGAAAAGCACCCTTTCTCAGATCCTTGGAGAACTATTTTCAGATGAGGAAAAAAGACCATGTACAGAGGTAAACAGAGGTTTAGCCGCTTGAAAGTGATTTTATTTAATGAAATTAATTACTTTAAACTTACTTCTGTCAGCTTTAAATACAAGTAAGAAAAATCATTTTTCACTAAAATTTCTGGATAATTCTTGCTGGATTTTCGACGAACAATCTTATCATCTGGTAAAAGGATGTTGTAGCTGCTGGTGTTTCCGCCAAACGAAAATTGCACTTTAACGAATTCAATGCCAAATCTTTATTAATTGCCAATTTAAAATTAATTGGCAGTTAATTTTAGTCAGATTCTCTATGCAACCGTGCATAAACATAGCTCCAAGCAAGGCACATTAAACAGGTAGTATCAGTAGAGCAAAAACAACATTTGCGTGTATTTTGTTGTTGCTTCTGGTATCGAAAGTGTCAAAAACTGTTCTGAATTTTTTCTTCTAAATCAAAGCGTGCCATGTGAAATACAAAAAATTATAAAAAATAAAAAATTTAAATTGGAAAAAAAAAATTTATGCCACTTTCTTTCCTAGTAAATTTGTTTGCTTCTCGAAGCATTGATCCATCCTTTGCAAGGCCCAGTAATCAGCGGTTGTGCTGCTGAGTTGGGCGAACGTTCCAAAAGCTGCTATTCAATCGCTTGTTTTGTATGGAAAAAGGTTTCACATGCAAATGGATTTTAACAATTCAGAATTTTTGTGAGAAAAAATTAAAAATATTTGACATTTTCGAGACCAAATAATTTGAAAATAAATCAAATCAGCTGCTCTACTGATACTACCTGTTCAATGTACCTTGGCTCCAAGTCAAAATTAAACATACCTATTTTGACTTGGGGGAATTTTTATTGAACAAAGAGGGATGGAAAATCGTATTATATGATTGTACCTAATTTACGGAAAACTTTACCTAAAAGTAGATAGATGTACCTAAAAAGAAAATATATATCTCTATATAAGAAAATAGGAGGATAACAATTCCCATCCATACCATATCAACTTCTGTAATCACATTAAAAAAATGTTGGCTATGAAAATAATCTCCTCGAGCGGCGCGAGACAAAACTATGTTGTAGGAAAGCAGAATCACTTTCCTCTCAGTTCTTCGATCTGACGGAAAAAAATATATATATATTTCATCTATCTGGCGAAATCAACTACAGTTGCGTTACTTTGACCATAATTTGTATCATTTGAATGTCCCTTCGCAAAGGAGGAAAGCTATTAGACCAGTTGCAAGCACCCGAAAATGCATTGAAATGTCAATAAAATTAAGAACTGATTTCCTGAGAAGTCATTTTGCTATGTTCCAGATGTACTTAAAATTGTAAGTAAATAAAGGTACGATTGTACCAACTTTTCCATCATTGTAGGTAATCCAGCAGAAAATACAAAACACAAAAGAGAATGCGATAAAAACTGCTTTCAAGACTTGACGTGTCTGAAAGGGGACTTGGCCTCAAGAATGATAGAATATAAGGTAGCGTCAACAACAATGTTGCAGAAATGAAATTTTGAAGATTCGCCGTTGTCGTTGTTGGTGTAAAGAGCCTGTCAAACGTGGCAATATTTCCGTCTTTCGCACGCAATTCGCTGTCAAATTGAGAAAGAAAAATTTTATTTCGATGTGTGAACAGCCAGATAGATCATTCTGTCACTTTTCGGAAATCAGTTTCAGAACCAAAAGATGCAAGGTGTGACTGCAACTGCAAGAGCGAAAATCGATTTCGGAAATATATTTCAACTTTCTCGTGCTGCAATTTTTATTTCTTCTGCAAGTGCTGTCAAACTAATCGAGTGTTGCCGTGTGGCCCTGATCGTGAATTTGTGTAAAATGATAAAAAATATTGTTGAATTAAATATCAAAAATGCTTGAAATATATTATTTTGCTTAATATACGTAATCGGTAAAATATTGTTTACACGGCAAATATTACGTCGTGTATTAATTTTTCGCGTTTTCGTTCTCGATTTTACAAGAGAAATAGCAAACAATCGACAACCCCACCGCCCATAGTTGCATTTTAGTATCGAAAAACTTTGCCAAAAACTCATTCGCTGTGTGAACAGCCAAAAAGCGATTTCAGAAATTTTTCCTTCAATTCGACTTTCGGAAATAAAAAACCTCTTTCGAAAGACACTTTCCATGCAAGGTGCGACTGCTCATGCAACTGATTTCTCAATTTGACAGCCTTTCCGAAATTTATTGCATTGAAGTATATTGCCACGTCTTGAACGCTCTTAACAGTATACAAATTCCACAGAGTTTTTGGGGAGTGATGCTGGTGAAACAATCCTTGACCAGAGATAAATCCGGGAGGGTACGTCAGTTGCCTTTAAAGCTATGATGTAGTTGCTTACAAATTATATAATTCGGTATAAATCCCTGATCCCTTTCTACTTGTCAAAGCAAACTGGCATAAAAAGAAAATCAAAAGCTTTACATCTAATTTCATAAAAAATAAAAAGAAGTATTTAAACATATGTAATTCAATAATAAAAAGTCCTTAACTGCTTTACATTTATCACCCCATTGATATGTATATTTAACTATTATTTTTTAGTTGTATTCCGGTTTCTTATATGCATACACATGGGCGTAGCCAGGTAGGGACAGGGGGGTCCTCGAGTCCTCCCCCTAACTTTCAAATTTTCCTTATATATATAAAATAGTACCCCAAAATGCCAGCTTAATAGGGTCGAGGCCCCCCCTAAATTTCATTCTGGCTACGCCGATGTGTATACATAATTTATATTTCATTTTCGTTAGGTTTAGTTGATCTTATATTTTTCCGTTTTTCTCTTACTTCATCATAACTTTTTGGTTTGCTTCGTTTGGTTATCCGACCACACTGTGCATTCCACTTCGAGTTGTCTCAGTTTTGAAATAAATTACCTTGGTACTTGGCAACACTATCACTGGTATTTTACTAATTTTCTTGGCCGCCAGCTGCCAGCAGTCGTAGGGATTTTCTAAATCATTTTAATTTTTATATTTCCATACAAAAATAACATTTTTAAAGGTGCACTATATTTCTAGCTGATTGCTAATATCGTATTTATTACGAAAACACTTCTCGTCTACGACGTTAACCATTGTTTTGCAAATCACTCGCAAGATATTCATCGTAATTAATGTGCATTTGAACATTTTCACTGTGTGTTGTATTAATACAATTGTTATTTCGTCATACCTATTTTCGTCAAGTCAACGTGCAAGCGACACTCAATTCACAGATAACAAAAACGTATTCTTCAAGTTGTGAAACAATACACAAATAACCAACAAAAACGACATGGCACAATCCTCTGTAGCTGGCACAGCCTCTTCTGCCGCCGCTGGCGCCGGTGTGACGATTCCAGTCGACACTACTGGTGCCTTGGATATCGGTGTGGATATGAATTTAGTGGATATGAAGCACTGCTTCGAAAATCTCATAGTGATAGATGCGGGTGCGAATCTAACAAACAAAAAATATAGCCGTGATCTGGAATCAGTAATACAACGAGCCAAGGATGCGGGTAAGGTATAATAAATATTGCCACAAAGTTGGCGTACATACTTGGCTGTACATTTATGTATATGTAATTTATTTATGTATACGCATATAAATTAGCGTATAGTTGTGTTTTCAAGAAGATCTTTTGCGTTTTTTCTTAGATAAGAATGTTGCGCCCTGTCATTCGAAGACTACTCTTAGTCATATCTGTATGCACATATGTACATATGTATACCTACTCTATATATACCATAGTAACACACCCATTTATATGCACAAATATGTAAATAAGTAATTGTTCAAAAATATGTAACCCTATCTGACCTCAAAGATCTGTGAGAAGTCAAAGTTGTTATACGTAGATATGTAGGTACCTACATACATAGTTATTGTGCATATGTACATACATATATTTAATTCCCATATGACTTAATAATGCCATAGCTGATTTTTATAATTTTCAATACTCATTCAAAATTAAATATTTCAACAGGAGTACAGAAAATAATGGTTCCAGGCACATCGGTAAAATCTAGCAAAGAAGCGCTTCGTCTATCACGAATTTATCCCGATATAATTTATTCGACTGCTGGCATACATCCACACGATTCCAAATCGATTGTCGAGGAACCGAACACTTGGTTCGAGTTCGAGCATATTGCGGCTTCACAGGAATGCGTCGCTATCGGACCATGTGGCTTAGATTATCAACGTGATTTCTCTGAGCCAGAGACCCAAAAGGAAATTTTTGAAAAGCAGATACATTTAGCTTGCAATTTGAACAAATCTCTGCTTATACATGAGCGATCCGCGCAACAAGATGTACTCGATATCCTGGATAAGTAAGTTTTTATCCGCAACTGTTATTATACGCCAAGCGGCGATATGTATCTACATATCGATGGTCTTCTGCAATAACGGCAAAATTCAAAAAATAAGAACTTATAATTATATATATTATATAAATAGTAAGCATTACTAAAGCGAATATTAAGGATTAGAGACAAGAGTCACTCAACAGTAGTAATGGATATTGTTTTTTGAATTTTTAATTGTGTCGTTATTGCAGAGGACCATCGATATGAACATTTCTCTGCGATTAAATTTACAGATTCGAGACTTTACCACCTATAATCATAAGAGGATTCATGGGAACGGCCGACGAAGCAGTCAAATATCTAAATAGAAGATTCTATATCAGTTTAACTGGTTATTTATGCAAGGTAAGATAAATTTTAGAGAAATCCGAGTTATTCCATAAACAAATATTTTAAAGCATTAATTTTTATCCGACAAAAAAAAACAGTTTAGCAATTCGTCGGAATATTTTTTGTATGTATATACATATGTAGGTTATAAGATAACTTTGGATCACGTGAACCGATGATAATTTATTTTATGCCGAATTTCTACTAGGTATTGAAACGACACAAAATTGGTGGCATTTAAGATATGCCATGTGGAAATGAACTTGAACGTTACGGCACTGCTTTTTTTTAAGGCTCAACTTTGTCATTACAATTTCTAGCATTTAAAGCCTAGTGGAAATTCAGTATTATTGGCAATAATTTTACAGATTAAACTTACAAAACAACTAAATGCATTTTTTTTTTTTTACGTTACAGGACAAATCAGATAGTGGAGTACGCAAACTCTTAGAAAATGGAATTCTTCCTATCGATAGACTGCTCGTCGAAACGGACTCGCCGTTCATGTACCCAAATACAAGAGCTTCCAAGCTGCCGCAACATGTTAAGACTGGAATAACGGAACGTTCGCTTTTATATTTACATAGGTAGATGTACCAGACAGATATTTGCATAGGAATTATTCTTTCAATGGACTGATATTTTTCAGGTACTGCACCTTTCAACGCAACGAGCCTTGTAGTTTGCCCGCCATCGTAGAAATGATAGCTGCTTTTATGAAGAAAACGCCCGAAGAAGTAGCTTTAGCTACAGCATTCAATGCATTGAAACTCTTTGGCCTATCCTAAAAGTTAATGGCTGTGATATTACTTATGTAGACTGTCATACAATTGCTTAGTGCGACAAAATATCACTTAAAGCACATGCTTTCCAACCATAAAACAAGGAGTGAATTTAGAGGAATCCAAAACGAAAGTGCCAAATTTTTATTTGTGGTAATATAGTGTTTTGTGAAAATTCCTTAATACGCTATGAACTACAAGACTTCAAAAGTGCCTTAAATGAAGTGCGAAATTCGGCAAACGGCTGATAATAAAACAAACGATAAAAAAAAATATTTTACTAAAAAGAAAATTATGTAATTAACGAATCGACACTTATTTATTATATATTACACACATATGTATACCTACTAACAACGACGTGTTTTTAAAGCGCATGCAAATTCGTAATATACTCATATTAAATCAACTGAAGATTCGAATACACAAGTCGACCTATTAGTGTTAGTTGCAACTACATAAAAAAGTATATTTTGTTTTTAAGAACGTAAAACTATTTAGACTGCAAATTAAATCTGGATATTCGGTGAGGATATAGTTAGTTGGAATCGACCAGAGTTCCTTCTCGTGGAAAACCCCCTAACCGTGAAATGTAAATGAACGTACATACAACTATGTATGTAATAAACACTTAACTACAGTAAATCTTAAATGAAGAATTTGTTTGATATGCAAACTATTTATTGACATAATCAAGGTGTGCCTGCTTCAACGCCTTTTTCTTAAACCGTTGATCAAACTTAAGTTATGCATACAAATTAGTGCTTCGAAACTAGGAGAAAAATGAACAAGTCAAGCTGCAGCTGATTTGTTTTACTATTTTATTAGATTTTTTACGCCAAAACCTGTAAATATTTATAGTTCATTTTGTTCGTTATTTGTTGTTGTGCTGCGAAATGTTTATTGTGCTTCGCCAACTAATAACATACAACATACATACATAAAAGATAGTTATATGAATAGCATTTAAGACAAAAGCAATGTGCATGGTAACACAGTAAATGTGATCATGATTGTACTCTATTGTTATTTACATACATACACATATACAGATGTATGCTTACAACCATAAATAAACAAAAAAAGAGAAAACTTAAATGGCTTATTTTATTAATCCCGTAACTATAATTTTAATGATTTCTATTTCTTAAAGCACACTAACAATCAGGAGACCACTCCAGTCAAAGTGCCGAACAAAAATTTCTTTGGTGTTTCTCGCCGCCTATTCGATGATGATCAAAAGATATTCCATTGTTCAGGTGAAGCGATGTATGAACTTCGTATCTTCAAACTTTTTTAATTGGTGCAAATTATCCCACCATTCTTTAAGTTTATGCTTTAGGATCAGTCTAAACCAAGGTGTCATTGGAGCATCGAATTTGTTCACAGCCTTGTCAATTTCATTACGCTTTACGAAGCGCACTTCGCTGACCTCATTCTCATTCGGATTGAGATCGACATCCTTTTGCAGGAAAAGTATATAATCGATTTCATGTTCACCCCACACACCATCACCTGTATTGTGGTAATGTATGCGTGTCAAATAGTGAAAGTTTTCTGGTTGAATTTGTTCCGTTGGAATGCCAAGCTCATAGTTAAGCCGCCGCTGAGCTGCTCTTCGTACTCCTATCGCATTAGCTTCTTCCCGCTCCAATTCAATGTCGTGCAGTGGATGACTACAACAAGCGTTTGTATACGTGTCGGGGAATGTAATCTACAAAATAAATAATATAAATAAAGTCTCCAATATCAAATGCAAAACATGAAGATACCTTGTGTACGGAACGACGTTGCACAAGCATTTCTCCCTTACAATTGAAAAGGAAGACACTGAAAGCACGATGTAATTTGACCGCTCCAGTCTCTCCATTCACTCGATGACAATCAGCTTTACTGCTGGCGCCAATGGCGTTATCATTCGGATCTACCAAAATGCAGTTTTCCTTGAGCGCTAGTGCCTGCTGGGCATCATGTACTCCAGTCATGGTGCTAGATTCTGGCGTTGCTGCCGCTGCTGCTGATGAACAATTTCTAACCCATATGTGCTTATGAAAACCACGGAGAGCCGATCCACGTAATCTTGATAACACTATCATTGTTTCCTTCAACGAAATGCAATTTCAAGTATTTAGTTGACTGAGTTCATTCTATTTTGGTACATAGATCATATGGTTTACATGGTCTGCAGAGTTGTATTCTGTAGGTATAGGATTAAAATTTATTGTGGACTAGATATAAATCGAAGAAAAACCTAAATCACTCGAAAATATCAGCAATGCACTGCATAGGTAAATCCTTATTTACATTTTAAGAAAAGTTTCGATCTGGGTCGTTCTGATAGAAATTGTTTATATTCACTGCATAACCGACACTTTCAAGGAATCCACACGGATTTGAACGAACTGGATTGGGCAATGCGCATAAGGGTTAAAATAAAAGCAACACTGAATTGGCAACCCTGTTGTGCGTAATGATACAAAAAAATCAGAGAAGTTCTTTATCACAATTTTGACCAATTTGCTTGCTGGAGTATTGGGGAAAAGGCAAAATAAAATTGTTGAAAATTATGGTAAGCAAAAAGCGAAACGCCCCTCAGCAATTGAAATCTTTGGATGCAATTATTTGTTTTCGCAGATACGGTTCATTTTGATACAAAATCGTGCTGGTAAGACGCGTTTGGCCAAGTGGTATATGAATTTTGATGACGACGAAAAGCAGAAGCTGATCGAAGAGGTGCATGCAGTGGTGACAGTACGGGATGCAAAACACACAAATTTTGTCGAGGTAGGTGATGAATATAAAATTCAGGCTTTTGACACTTTCAAATAATAAAACTTTCTTGACCCGTTCCCACGAATCTGGGCGGGGGGAGGGAAATGTTTCCGGGCCAACCCAAATTTATGTGTATTCGGCCGGTGTAATTATTTGGAATGTCTTTTATTTATTGAAATTGAGACTGCCAATTACTCTTACATTACACTTTGTATGTATATTATTTAATATTTTTTTATTCACAGTTTCGGAACTTTAAGATTGTGTACCGCCGATATGCCGGACTCTACTTCTGTATCTGCGTTGATGTAAACGACAACAATCTGTGCTATCTTGAGGCGATACACAATTTTGTGGAGGTACTTAACGAGTACTTCCATAATGTATGTGAATTGGACCTTGTATTTAACTTTTATAAAGTTTACACGGTAGTAGATGAAATGTTCTTAGCTGGAGAAATACGTGAAACGTCGCAAACAAAGGTGCTAAAACAATTATTGACGCTGAACTCACTGGAATAAAAACTGCTGCCATCGATGCATTCCATTAAATAAGTGTGTTTATTCCGAAAATTAAGTATGTTTCAGGCGCAAGGATAATCCTACCCATGATTGGATATTGGAGTTTATGATGGTCAATCCATCAGTTTTCGAATTTTTTTCACTGCTTCCCCTTTCCCTTATATTGATATGTTACCCAGCATACCTTTCTGCCCATTTAAGAAAAGTAATTGGTATTTGTTAAAGTGCTTGTAAAGTTATTGTAGACATAATTATAAATGAACATGTATTACTAATATGTTCTTACTCAAAGTCACACTGATATTTAAATAAAATATATAGATAACCAAATTAAGGCGTTTATATATATTAGATATGTACATATCGTCGTTTAAACTACAAAACCGCGCATCAACAAAATGCAATACCGCGTATCAACAAAATGCAATATCGCGTATGTGAGGTTCCATAAATTATTTTCTAGAGAGTAAAAACACTCACATTTCAAAATGGTTCTTTTTTTTATAAAGCAATCGCATTTTTGGTTAGTATGTTTCCTGAAGGATTGAGCCAAGAGCTTGTGTGAGCAAATCCAATTTTTGGCAAAAAAGGTTTTGCAGAACGACAATACGCGGTTTTGTACTGATAAGGATGGTTAACCGGCAAGTAGTAATTTTGATGCGAATTATGTTTGTTCAATGTCAAGATTTTTCGACCTACATAAATCTGTACATATCGCACACCGTCTTCAAAAGAGTCACAACTCAAAATTTGACATATTTGAGATTTGCACTAAAAATGTACGCAGAGCTTTATTTACCTTTAGGCAAATGCTGGAGCAAATGGTATAGCAGTGCAACGTATACACTGTATCGGAGTATCGATATCGATAAATATTGTTCTAATGGTGGCCACAACTACAGTCAGTCAATAAAGTTTAGGTACAGCGATTTTTTTACAATACGGGCAACTATTTCTTAAATATTTTATTTTTCGATAACTTTGTATAAAAATATGGTCAATTCTACAACAAAAAACCCAAAAATCAGAGTTCCAAACCTTGTGTAAAATTAAAGAATATTTGGCAAAATTTCATTCAAATATTGCAGTTTTTATTTACGCTCTTTAGAAAGAAGTTGAGTATGCAGTTTTTTAGCCCACTAAATTTTAGTATAAAGTGCAAGTTTGTGGTGGCTAGGACTTAACATTGATTTTTATGAATTTTTTTTGTTGAAGGTGTCGCTCATTTTCTCCATATAAGATAATGTTTGATAATTTTTTTATATGGACAAAATGTGCGACACCTTCAACAAAAAAAAATTCCAAAAAATCAATGGTAAGTCCTAGCTTCCTCATACTTGCACTTTATTATACTAAAATTGATTGCGCTAAAAAACTGCGTATTTTTTCTAGCGAGCGTAAATAAAAAGTGCAATATTTGAATGAAATTTTTTTCCAAATTTTCTTTAATTTTGCACAAGGTTTGGAACTCTGATTTTTGGGTTTTTTGTTGTAGAATTGACAATATTTTTATACAAAATTAATTAAAATTAAAATATCTAGAAAATAGTTGCCGGTATTGTAAAAAAATCGCTGTACCTAAACTTTATGGACTGACTGTATATTCTTTTTGACAAAGAACGAAAATGTATAACAAAGAACGTAAATCTATACGACGCGACACCTCGTTACCAAAGAACGTAAATCTATATATATATATAAATTTACCTTTGCTTTGGCCAGATATTCTCAATTGTGTTGTGTCAAATTGTCTTATGTAAACGCAGCGTATTGTGGCAACCATTAAACCAATATTTATCGATATCGATACTCCGACTACTCCACTCGTTCAACTGATGTGTCAGAAAATTGTGCTATTTTGTGTGTGCGAGCGAGACAACAAAATTAAATTGATTGCGTGGAAGCGAGCGAATGCTAGTGAATTTTCTTCATCGTCATTTGTTCGTCGCCATTGTTCTTTCGTCGTCGTTGCTGTCGTTGAAAATCATCGAACGAAAAAATAAAAGTTACAGCATTCAATTGCAATATTTCTTAATAGAAAACAAATTGTTAAAAGGCAAGGAAAAGTCCAAAATATTAAACAGTAAGCAAAAATATTAGCAGCCGTTTGTATCAAAGGAAAAAAAAAAACAAATATAACTCTTCGTTGAAGTGAGATACAGCAGTGGAAAGTGTGGCTCGGCTGAAGAAAAAAATCATTTGATTAGCGCAGTAGAAGAAAAAAAACAACAGCTCGAATTCGTCTACGAGCAGAATATTTGAAAACGTTTTAGGTTTTCCCGAAAAAGCAGCTATGAATCCAGAATAGTAAGTGCAAATAAATAAATTTTAATTTTTATAATTGCAACATATATATAAGCCTTTAATATTTTTGCGACGTCATTTTTTCATTTCAATGAATATGATGTCGCTCAATTTCGTCTATCCACGCCGTCGACGCCTTACCTACACTTGTGCTTTGAATATTTCTTCGTGGCAATCAGTACTCATTTGTGGGGAGTGTTTACGCTTGATTCAGGAATTTTATGTGGAGATTGCATTTGATGCAATTATATCGTAGTTGGCATTGGCAGCCGTCCAATGTACAATACAATTAGAAATAATTGTTATTAACAATATCTCCGAACGACTTCAAGTGGTGAAGTTATATAGTACGGAATTATGGGGCGGATGAGTCACTTGTTAAAGAGAGATCCATTGCTCCTCTCTCGTACTTAGCTGTTCGCTCAATCATAGACTGCCCTGGCTTCACAGCGAGTATTAACAACCTATTACTAGCCTTCCAGCAAACACAGTTTCAAACGCCATGAACCAACGACTAGGTACTTTGTTTGTTTTGTTGGTTCATGGTTTCAAACGTTTGAGAAAAATGTATTCCACAATTTGATATCAAATGTTTCTCTCAAATGATTTTCAAATTGAAAACGAGGTTTAATTTTTTTGTATTTGATTTTTTATATTTGATTTTTAGATAACCATACTCTCAAATGGAGATAAAACTCGCCTTTTTATTGAGAAAGCTGTAATTTTCAAATCATTCTCAAACGTTGGGCATTTGAGAAAGGCTTTGATTTCGAATCATTTTCAAATGTATATCAAACCTAATTGTTTGCTGGGCTGCCGTCAGAGGCAACATGTAATTTTTAATTTTTGTCTTGGTTTTTATTAATTTCGAAAAAGCATTTGAGAAGTGAAGAACAAAAGCGTGGACAAACAAAAAAATATAACAACAATGCCATTGTTAATATGTTGGAGTAGTTTTGTGCTACTATGATGTAATGCAGGGATGGAGTATATGGTCCTGCCCTAGGACATCGCCATGTTAATTGGACCATATTTTTTATATGAATGTGGTTAATTTTGGAGTACTCCTTGGTCCTTAGGGAGTACTCTTTACACGCATGCATGGAGTAGTCGAGATTTTTGCAGGTTAGGGTTTACACCGGACAATACTGTCATGACAATAGCAATACCCTGCCAGCATATTCTATTGCGGAAGTTACTTATTCGACACGACATTTCTGTGAAAATCATCGCCGATGATATCGCCTTTTTTTGAATTCTTATCCGCTCTCGGGAAGAACTGTTCCACCAAGACATCACGTCTTTATGATACAATAACGATATGGCAATTAGGAACTATTTCGATAGGAATTACAATAACTTGTGTGATAAGTACTGAAGTGTTCAAGAAGATTCTTCTGTTGGTTAAGTTTTTGATAAAACGTAAAGGAAATTTGAGGTACCTTAGAGCTTGCAACTACAGCGGCAGAGTTGCTTACGTCATTTTCATTCTGCATTCGGCTTTGATTGCGAGAAATTCCAACTAAACATTTTAAAAATCAGTTCCAAAAATGTATGGTAAAAAGGCATTAACATCTTTTTTAAATTTATAAGTAATTTTATTATTTTTTGTTATTCGAATATGATTGCTTGCACGTTAACTGAAAAATAAAAAATGTAACTGCGCTTGGGCCACACTAGAGAATTGAAACTTACGTTATATACATATCTATTTTGTCTCATAACCAATCTGCTTTTGCTTAACGTTATATTTTTCGCCTTTTTTCTATCTAGATCTCTATCTCTACCCCTCTTTATGTTATTCTGTTTTTCTTTATCTTCATTTGTATCTTTATACTCTTTCGATAACAATATCGATAGTAACATCCATTAAAATATCGACAACAAAACCGATAAAAATATTGATTACAAAATCGACGAAAAATTCGATAAAAATTTCGACAGCAAAATCGATAACAATATTGGTAGAAAAATCTATTAGAAACTCGATAAAAATAACCATAACAAAATCGATAATCAAATCGACAAATACTGACAAATATCGATAAAAATATTGAAAACCAAATCGATAAAAATATCCATTACAAAATCAATAACAAAATCGATAAATGCTGATAACGAAATCGATAATTATCGATAACAAAATCGATAATAATCGAGAACAAAATCGATAAAAATATCTATAATAAAATCGATAAACAAATCGATTATGATATCCATAAGTTCCGAAAATATCGATACCAAATTTGATAACAATATCGATAAAAATTTCGATAAAGAGATCGATAAAAATAATAATAACAAAACGGATAAAAATCTCGATTATTTTATGGATAAGTCCAGAGAATCCCGAAAATCTCTAAAATCCCAAAATAGTTCCCAGACTTGGGCTGTTTCCCTCTGTATTCTTTTCTCTTTAATTACCTTTATTTCAATCTTTCTTCCCCTATATTCGTCTTTACTTTTATCGGTATCCTCATCCTCCTCTGTCTGCTTTTATGTTTATCATTTTCTTCATCTACATATTCCCCTTCACCTTTGCCCTTATATACATATATAAGTAAAGTGATTAAAAATACGTTGGTCTTCATTACCTTTACCATTTACCTTTACCTTTACGCATCTTTGTTTTTGTTTTTATTTTTACTTTTGCCTTTATACTTTTCTTCATCTATGTACGTAGTCACCTTTACTTTCATTCTTGTATTGGTCGTTTTCTATTCTTTAACCTTTTATTAGCAAATTTTTATTAAACTAATACCATATACATACACACTACACACATAAGCACTTGTTTCAGCCCCACCATTTCCGTGAGCAATTTCCGTTGAATTTGCCAATTTACTCCCAACCAACCAACCGCCGCTAAAGAAGTTTCACTTCAAAAATTAGAAAACAAACATATAATTTTACTTGATTCAGTCTATTTTCAAACCGTTTGTGTTGCAAAAAAATTATATATTAATTTAATTTATAATTAGCAAATAGCATACATATTTTATTGAGTTCAAAAAAGCGTTAATGAAATAACAAAATTGTTTTTTAAGAAATCCATTATTAGAGTTGAAAATATTGTGAAATTACAAAAGTATTGGCACAGATGTATGCAAAGTTTTTATACTCGAGCGCACTTGTACACAACGCATAACGGTTCGCATAACAGTTGTTTGTAACAGCCAAAACGAATCGAGATAGATATGGACAAATGTATACATAAATGATCAGAATGAAAAGAGAAGTCGATTAAGCCATGTCTGTCTGTATGGCCGTAAGTCTGTCCGTCTGTCCGTGTACACGACAACGCGAGCAAAAATTGAGATTGCAAATGGGCGAAATCGCACTGTAACCTCGCCCACTTCCCATATAACGGTATTTTCAAAAAGAGCAAAAACTGCGATATTTCAGTAAAAATTAGATGCGAATTGTTGAAAACGTGTATCTCGGTAACCGATTTATCAATTTCCACCAAACTCTGTGCACTTAATAACCTTAGTACGGAAAAGTAATTTGTTGAAAATATTCAAATCGGTCTAAAATTACACCCGCTTCCCGTATAACGGCAAATTTCAAAAATACGAAAACACCAATATTTCAATAACTGAGGACGCTAATTTACTTTAAGTTAGTCGTTACAACAATCTCCTAACAATAAATAAGACTGTTATAGACTTATAGGAATTGGGCGTAGCACCGCCCACTTTATAACTAAAAAAGTTTTACCTCGGTAAACACTTACTCGATTTGTACCTAACCAAGTTCAATTATATCATTAAGTCTAACTACATATTATCAAAAACGCTTGAAATCGGGTGTTGCCGCGGATTCCTTGTTTATATATACGGTTGCATCAAACCTAAGCGCCCAATGCGGATTAAGTAAAAGAGCGGTTTCTTCGGAATTCGAATATTCGGTTTATCCGGATAGCTGGAAAATCCGGTTGAAGTTCCCAGCCCTACTCTACGCTTACTTGCTATGACCCATATTAAACGCCATAGTAAAAATACTANAAAGCGTGTACAAACGGTAAAATATAACAACAATGCCATTGTTAACATGTTGGAAGTAGTTTTGTGCTACTCTGATGTAATGCAGGGATGGAGTATATGGTCCCTAGGACATCGCCATGTTAATTGGACCATATTTTTTATATGAATGTGGTTAATTTTGGAGTACTCCTTGGTCCTTAGGGAGTACTCTTTACACGCATGCATGGAGTAGTCGCGATTTTTGCAGGTTAGGGTTTACACCGGACAATACTGTCATGACAATAGCAATACCCTGCCAGCATATTCTATTGCGGAAGTTACTTATTCGACACGACATTTCTGTGAAAATCATCGCCGATGATATCGTTTTTTTTCGAATTCTTATCGACTCTCGGGAAGAACTGTTACACCAAGACGTCATGTCTTTATGATACCAAAGCGATAGGGCAATTAGGAACTATTTCGATAGGAATTCCAATAACTTGTGTGATAAGGACTGAAGTGTTAAAGAAGATTTTTCTGTTGGTTAAGTTTTTGATAGAACGTAAAGGAAATTTTAGGTACCTTGGAGCTTGCAACCACAGCAGCAGAGTTGCTTACGTCATTTTCATTCTGCATTCGGCTTTGATTGCTAGAAATTCCAACTAAACATTTTAAAAATCAGTTCCAAAAATGTATGGTAAAAAGGCATTAACATCTTTTTGAAGTTTAAAAGTAATTTTATTATTTTTTGTTATTCGTATATGATTGCTTGCACGTTAACTGAAAAATAAAAAAAAGTTAGTGCGTCTGGGCCACACTGGAGAAGTGAAACTTACGTTATATACATATCTATTTTGTCTCATAACCAATCTGCTTTTGCTTAACGTTATATTTTTCTTCTTTTTTCTATCTAGATCCCTATCTACCCCTGTTCGTTCTAATTACATTTATGTTATTCTGTTTTTCTTTATCTTCATTTGTATCTTTATACTCTTTCGTTAACAATATCGATAGTAACATCCAATAAAATATCGATAACAAAACCGATAAAAATATTGATAACAAAATCGACTAAAAATTCGATAAAGACTTCGACAGCAAGATCGATAACAATATTGGTAGCAAAATCTATTAGAAACTCGATAAAAATAACCATAACAAAATCGATAAAAATATCCATAAAATAAATCTATACAAATATTGATAACCAAATCGATAAAAATATCCATTACAAAATCAATAACAAAATCGATAAATGCTGATAACGAAATCGATAATTATCGATAACAAAATCGATAATAATCGAGAACAAAATCGATAAAAATGTCTATAATAAAATCGATAAACAAATCGATTATGATATCCATAAGTTCCGAAAATATCGATACCAAATTTGATAACAATATCGATAAAAATTTCGATAAAGAGATCGATAAAAATAATAATAACAAAACGGATAAAAATCTCGATTATTTTATCGATAAGTCCAGAGAATCCCGAAAATCTCTAAAATCCCAAAATAGTTCCCAGACTTGGGCTGTTTCCCTCTGTATTCTTTTCTCTTTAATTGCCTTTATTTCAATCTTTCTTCCCCTATCTTCGTCTTTACCTTTACGCATCTTTGTTTTTGTTTTTATTTTTACTTTTGCCTTTATCCTTTTCTTCATCTATGTACGTAGTCACCTTTACTTTCATTCTTGCATTGGTCGTTTTCTATTCTTTAACCTTTTATTAGCAAATTTTTATTAAATTAATACCATATACATACACACAATGAGCACTTGTTTCAGCCCAACCATTTCCGTTGCACCATTTCCTTAGCACCATTCAAATCGGTCTAAAATTACACCCGCTTCCCGTATAACGGCAAATTTCAAAAATACGAAAACACCAATATTTCAATAACTGAGGACGCTAATTTACTTTAAGTTAGTCGTTACAACAATCTCCTAACAATAAATAAGACTGCTATATACTTATAGGTATTGGGCGTAGCACCGCCCACTTTATAACTACAAAGGTGTACCTCGGTGTATAACTACAAAGGTGTACCGCGGATTAAGTAAAAGATCGGTTTCTTTGGAATTCTAATATTCGGTTTATCCGGATAGCTGGAAAATCCGGATGAAGTTCCCAACCCTACTCTACGCTTACTTGCTATGACCCATATTAAACGTAAAAATACTATCTTCAGCGGTCGCGAATCGCTACTTAGGTTGCACTGACCTCAAGTTAAACTGGAAAAGGAAAAAAATAATTGAAAACGAAATGCGACAAACAATAAAAAAGCGTTTTGAGCATTTACTCTATTTATTTTACGAGTAAGAACAGGACTAACTGTACAGTAAATAACAATTATACACATAACATATGAATATTCATATTATCTATATCCTTGAACTGAAATAATTATTGAAACTTCAATAATATTCCACTGTTATTTTATTTTTTATAAATTCTTTTAATAACCTTAAACTAATTTTTTGCTTCTAGTGATTACTTGTTCAAATTATTGCTTATCGGCGACTCGGGCGTAGGGAAATCGTGCCTTCTCTTGCGATTTGCCGACGACACATATACAGAGAGCTATATTAGCACAATCGGAGTGGATTTCGTAAGTACAATTTTTTTTTAAGACACCTGAAATAATGTATGTATGTATATTTATAAAAGTATTATTGCATTGCAGAAAATTAGAACCATAGAATTGGACGGAAAAACTATAAAGTTGCAAATCGTAAGTAGAAAGATGCGTTATTCTACTCTTTGTATTTCAAAAAGAACATATTCGAGAAATAAACAAAATTTGTGTTGTCTTTATAACAGTGGGATACCGCTGGACAGGAGCGCTTCCGTACAATCACTTCATCGTACTATCGTGGTGCTCACGGTATTATTGTCGTCTACGATTGCACAGACCAAGAGTCTTTTAACAACGTAAAACAATGGTTAGAGGAAATCGAACGATATGCTTGCGAAAATGTGAACAAGTTGTTGGTAGGCAACAAGTGTGATTTGACTACGAAGAAAGTCGTCGATACAACAACAGCTGCGGTAAGTTTCCTCATACACATTTGAGTTAATTTGAAGATGCATAAGTTAATGTTAATTGTTTTTTTTTTTACATATTAGGAATATGCAAACCAATTAGGCATTCCATTCCTTGAAACATCAGCCAAAAATGCAACGAACGTTGAGCAAGCTTTCTTGACGATGGCTGCCGAGATAAAGAATCGTGTTGGGCCGCCTTCAAGTGCCACTGAGAACGCCAGTAAAGTTAAAATCGATCAAGGACGTCCAGTGGAAAACACCAAATCCGGTTGCTGCTGAATAACTTCGATTGTGAAAGCATATACACACATTATTTTATTATACTAAAAACAAAAAATTGAAAATAAAAAAAATCACAACAAAGATGGTGATGATAAAGAAGCAAAGGATTATGCTGTAGTAATAATGATGATAATCTATGGTAACGATAATGACACGCATGTTAAGGGAACACAATTTATGTTGATAACAACAGAGCAACAACAACAATGATTCATAAGATATAAAAAATCAAATTTTTTTAAATACATACTTAACAAGAAAGAGTAATGTTATGACGGCGAACCTATAAAAAAAACACAACAAACTGCGCGGAAAAAACTTTAAGTAAGATACTTGTAACTAATGTTTAAATGAAACCTAAATGTAAACAAAAGCGTAAATAACGAAGGAATGAAAAAATAGATGCGGAAAGAAAGCAAAAGTGTGAGCGTATCGTAGTAATGCAGATACGATGTGGTGTCTTTTCGGGCGTCGGAAAATTCCCTACCATTTTATAATTATTAAAAATCCATAGTATATACAAATTTGTGTTTATTAGTCAATTTGGTGGTCCAGCTAACCACTAATGGTTGCATGGACAACCAAATTGCTGGAAATATTAGTTTATTACCTTAAATAAAAGTACATACGACATACGCAATTTAAATGAAATTAGTAAATTGGATGGTGTTTGTATTTATGTAATTGCAATTTGAAAATTTATGGAACAAATAGTGTACAGCGATGTGAACTAAAAAAAATAAGTAATAGGTGCTGCGAGAATATTTAAAATCTTCTTCAGTAATATGATGGTATGCACGCAAACCTTGTTGAAGCACTTTATTCCACTCGGCACGGAATGGTTCTCTTTGAAGCCTAGACAGAAAATTAATAAAAACACAACGCATTATATATTTTTTTTTGTAATATTTACATATTTATTTCATTTTGCACTTAATCCACTATGATTATTTTACAAACATGTGTTTAGGAAACCTTTACAAAGTAACATTTATATAACATTTTCATCCTTGGAGGTGCTCAGTTAAGCCGAAGATAACTTCTATATACCAAAAACATTATTGATTTTATGGTTTATCAGTCTTACCAAAAATGCATTTACCGCATTGTTCATTAATCATCGCGTAGAATTTAAAATTTCTCATTATTCTTCGCACTTGTTTAGATATAATTTCTCTCTGCGCAATTTTCATCACTTTCCAGTGGGCATGCAGTTGTCACAGTACTTCTAGTTATATCGATAATGGCGGCACCTACCACAGATCGTGACCCCATAACTGCCCTAGGCCCGATTACTGACAAGCTACTACTTCGGTCCGAGCCTGACGATGTTGAAATGGAAGAGTTTACCACAAATGTTGATTCACGTTTGAATTTGGGACGACGCTGGTCATAAGTAACTGACGTTTTGACCTCCATTTGCCGGCGATTGGTTGTTGTTGTTGTGGCAGTAGTTGTTGCCCCCTTATTGCCACGTCCAATAACACGATCCGTGCTACCTCCGCAGCAGGAAATGATCAAGCGCCAGAATCCAGTACGGAATTTCGAAGACATAAGATTGTACAGTATAGGGTTTAAAGCCGAATTTAAATACAACATTATACGGCAGAAATATAAAATACCATAATAACCATCAATGCCAAGACTTGCGATGTCCTTCATAGGTGCAGTGATAACCCATAATGTGAATGCACGAAATGGCAAAAGGCAAATAAAAAAACTGGCGACTACGGCAACCAACATGAATATCACTTGTTTGCGATGTTTTCGCATACCGGTGCTAAGTTGTTGGGCTCCCACACCATTGGATGTCATCGGGAGTGGTAGTTTATTTATCGATTGATGGCGTAGAATAACCGAACTTAAACAGGTGGTGGGCGGCACGTGAGCAGCGGTGGTGGGGCGATGAAAGTCAATGTTGCGACGTAGAAGTTTGTAGGCGATTGCAGCATAGAGCACAACCAACACAATGAAGGGCAGAACAAAGAAGATTGTAATGCAAGTGATAAAGTAGAAAGCCGACCAGAAAGTTTCCGCTGATGTGAAGCATACAGCCACCTCAGTGTCATCGTAATAAAGTTCCATACGAAAGGTAGCGATTAGTACGATAGGACTACCAGAAGTCGGAAAAATAAGGATATAGAAAACGATAAGGTTAGTAAATGTGAAATAAGAAAGGAGTTACTTTCAGTTGGACAAAGTACAAAATATATTAAAAAATTAAAGACTTACAAAAAAATGGATGCAATGATGATTATCTACATATGTGTGTATAAGTTCAAGGAGAACAGCAAATCTTTCAAATCACAATTGACAACAATATGTATTGACTCATGTTTTTCTAACGAAACTAAAAACCGTGCTCATACTTAATTGCATTTATATACATACATATTTATACGTAAATTAATTTAATTGGCTTTTGTTTATTTGCATTTTACAGTGCATTGCTCAAAAGCATACCCGACATGGATTCTAACGAAAAAATAAAGTGTTTTAAAGTTCACCTACCTGTACTGTATGTACATATGTATATATGTACATTAGACTGTCCCAAAAAACCAAAGTTTTTTTTTAACGCATACCCCATAATTTTATTGGTTTTGTCTTGAACTCTTTTATGGAATTCGGACCACGACAACCCGTGCCGACTGCAGATACAGTTATCATAAGTTTTTTGCATTTCGCGAGACTTTACTCTGCAGTATTAGGGCATAATATTTAGTAAGTCTGCGTTTTTTGGCTTTCTACCAGGTAGTCGGGATTTTTTCCGAAGAATCATGAACTCTATTTCCAAACGTTTACACTAAATATGGATATATGAAAGAAAAATTCAAAACAAGATTAATTATAACTTTTGTTTTCATATATCCTTTGGAACATGACAAAAATGTTCTTTAGAAACATTATCCTTCAAGCCTTTAATTTTGAATGCATTTTGAAGAATTTTAGCTTAATTTATGTCCTATAAAAATATGTATATAAGGATATTAAAGGATACCAATTTTAAAGGATATCTTTCATAAAACTTATGTAAATTCTGACGTCCTATTAAAAATTTAAAGATGCAGATTTACTATAAATGCGTGGTAATTCTTTAAAATATCGTAAAACGGAGGAAAAATGGCAAAGATTAGGTTTTATGCACTATTAGAGAAAAAGTATAGTTATAATCTACTTTTATTGTTCTCCATTAGAATCATTTACAATCACATACAAGATACTTTCCAGACCATTTATTTTCAGAGATAGACGATATCTATAAAATAATAATAAACTTCTTTAAAGAGGGTTTAAATATAGATTTTACAGTTCAAAATACAGTCCGCTTCACTTATTTTTTTTTAACCGAGCTTTTATCTGGACTTGTAGGTATCAATCAGGGAAGCTTCTCTTTAATTACATTTCGAGGACTGGAAAATGTTGAAGAAATTTTGCGAAAAAGGGGCATTTTCTAAACAACACGATAAATCTGCTGGTGCCAGTAAATATACCACTTAGGGTCAGTTTTTCAGTGCACGGCCGTGGTTTAAACTAAGTTTAAACGCCCGATCTGGCTGGTTTAAACTAAGATCACCCAATCGAATGCCTGCCAACTTTAAACTGGCCCTTAGGACTAGCGTTTAAGCATAGAAAAAAACAACCGAAGGACGCCGACCACAAAACTCGTTTTCAGGCGGTGGTGGATGAGTACCGATTGTAGCAGGCCACCCAACACAATGATGCGAGAAACTGCAATAGGTCCCAGGATGAGACTGAAAGAGTCTAAAAAAATGGAGGTTTCCTGCTGACCAATCAGGTGCAGCTACTGCATCAGAGTCTCGGCGTGGCTTCAGCGAGGTGGCGCTTATAGGTGCGGTTTCCAACAAGCTGGTGTGTGACAAGTGGGAGGACATTGAGGCATGGCTGTCTCAATTGGTCATTGACCAAGTCCTGGGCAGAGTTGTTAGACTAAGAGTCGTTGGTTCATGCATGCTTCGTACAAGGATTGTAAACGCTAAGCTTGGCAACAGCGAAGTCATTAGGCGTGTTATACGAAAGATTCCGCAAGGCGGTGTACTGTCCGTCGCTTCACTTCAAGAAAAACTTCGTCATGTTTTCATCAACGAAGCAGTCGAAATGAGCTGTTTTTAAGTGAACGTTTCCAAACATCTATTTTTACGGACGGCTCAAAAACGAGTTATGTCATTGGGTCTTGGATTTTTTCAACCGACCTCCAACTTGGAAAGTCTACTTTAAAAGACTGCCGTATTAGACCAGTGCTTTTTAGGCAAAAGTCTTGGCCATCAAAGAGGCGTGCAAAATAATTTTAGCCTTGGAGCTAGCAGTGACCAGAATTGATATCTTCTCTGATAGCTAGACGGCGATTAAGGTACTCGGCTGTGCAAGTATCACATCCTGCACAATAAAACGATGCAAAGACTACGTTACGGCTTTAGCTGATAGCCATGTCGTTGCACTGTTCTGGATACCGGAGGTACAGCAGCATTCATGCCAACCAGATGGTCGACGAGCTAGCCATAAAGGGGTCGGCTCTGATATGTGATTGGCAGAAGTGATTATTGTGCCCGTGAGCTTCATCGAGAGCCGCATCTCGCAGCACTGGACAAAGGTGGCCAAAACAGTAGGTGGAAAAACTTTCAGTCCCATAGGGTCGGTAGGAATCTAAGGTCCACATATTGCGCAAAACGCTCTGCGACTCTCATAAAACTGAACAGCACGGATTTATCCCGACTAACTGCCGTCATCATAGGGCACTTGGCAGTGGGAATCCATGCTGCAAGACTCAATACTTCTTGTCGTCCTGTAATTAACCAGATGCAGACGAAACAGTGCAGTTTTGCTTTTTGACGTAGTTTTTTTTCTGTGGTTTTAAAACGGTGTACACATGTTAGTGCTAATATTAAACTCGCCAAACCAGCCAACCAACCAACCTAATAGCAATTGGGTATATGTATGTACATATCGCAAAACCGCGGCACTAAAATTTCACAGGAGAGCGAAAAAACGATTATTCTTTGAAGGCATTGCCTTGATAGGCGGTATTTTCTCTAGCTTTTATTATACAAATATCTTTTTTTAATAACGATTTAACGATTTTTATGCATAAATATCTATGCCTAGAGTTCAGGGTTACCAAATCTCATTTTTCCCACAACGGCGATTTAGGCGACGACGATTCTTGACCAAATCTAATTCCTTAAAAACCCTGTCATAACCTTAAATTTATGAAAATATGAATTAAACATGAATTAATTTATTCGGTTCAATAAATTCTACAAACCATTTAATACGTGCAACATACAAATGTATGGATGTATTACTTGAAGTACAAGCTAGATTCCCCATTACTCGCCAGTACATATTTTTTCTTTCCTGTGCATAATAATGTGTTTATAAATATACATGCATACATACATACATACACACAGTGTCGGTCATATCTATAGCACCCCCATTTCAAATTGATATTGCTTGCCACTTTATATGGAAGAAACCCCCAACACCTTCGACGAAAAAATTCTAAAAAATCAACATGCACATTATCAGATTAAAATTGAATAGGCTATAAAACTGTGTACTCACGAAAATTCCAACACTTCTGAGAAAAAAGTTTTATATTTGGGTGAATATTTGTTGCATTTTCTTGTGGTTTTATACAAAGTTTTAAGCTTGCGTTAATATGTGTTTTTTTTTTTTTTTAGAGAATGAACATTATTTTAATTGAAAACAACATCTCTTTGAAAGGGGGATGGGGGTGCTATTGTTTCGACCGACACTGTGTGTTTACCGACGTCACATTGATAAATCTTCGTGGTGGTTAGTAAACAACAATTACAAAAATTCAGGAGTATGAGAAAAACTAATCAAACTGAAGTCATCCATATTATGTGGATTTAGCTAAAATTCCCAACAATAACAACAAAGTTGTGGTCTCGTAAAATGTTCTGTGAAATATTTTGGGTTGCTGAGAGCATTACATAACGCATACATATGTAAGTATCTGTGTAAATACCTACATATTTACGTATTTGCAGTTCACATGCAGTCGGTATGCACATACATACATGTGTATGTACATATATACATTTAATGGAGGTCCTGCGTTGAAAATTATCTGACACATTTTAAAATAAATTGACATAAACGCACATATGTATGTATACACACACATCCATTGTATGTATGTATTTGTGCTGGGCAAATTTTTTTTTTAAATTTTATTTTTGTTTCAATAATCAACACGCATAGCATTTAAGTTAATGAATACATTTGCCATTACAACGGACATCATATGTCCGTCAAATAATATGGCCTTAGTGAAACGCGCTGGGTTGGATAGTGCATGTGGAATCGCCCACTTATTCCGAAAATCGAGTTAATATTTTATTCTATGAATAAGTTTTCGAGATATTTTTTATTTACCGTTACTCAGCTCAAAACAAAAAGTAGTTCCACTTAATCACATATATCTTACGAAGCAATTGAACAATCTTAATATGAAATACGAATATGAAAATCATAAACCGTATATACATCACTTTCCGATAGGCTCGGCAAATCATTTCCGAGTGAATTTCATTCAAGTTCGCTTTGAATTCAAATTGACAGGGGTTGAAATTCAATCGGAAGTGAATTCCAGAATCTGCCCGTTTGATTAATCATTCCAGTCTTTTTCTGTTTTGAAGAAAAAATTAAAAAAATAAAATCTTAATAGGAGAAAAAAATATATATATTCTGTGTCAATGTTTTGCATTTGTGTTAAAGCCTGTTCTGTTAAAAAATCAAGTTTCTAATGAAGCACATCGATTGATAAATAAAGAAGTAATGAGTGGCCAAATGAACATGCGCAGTATGAAAAATGAGCAGGAAAGAATGGTACTCATACGCCATGCACCCCTGAGTAACACGCTTTACACAGAATCTGTAATTTTAAAATGTTTCTCCTGTTGAAAGTTTCATTATTTTTCATTTTTTCCATCAAAAAACCAAAAAATTTGGAATTATTACTTAATTTGTCGGAAGCTATCAGACCTATCGAAAAGTGATATACATATGTATGGTTTATATAGAATTTCTCTAGCTTTCAATTGCCGTTTTCATTTTAAGATTGTTACATTGGTCCGTAAGTTATACGTGATTAATTGGCACCACTTTTTGTTTTAAGCTGAGTAACGGTAAATATAAAATATCTCGAAAACTTATCCAGCGAGCAGTTCTATATAGGAATTGGATAGTGGCATCCGTTGAACATTTTTGCTGTAAACCAGTGTAATCAACGATGCCAAGTTTACCGTTACGCATCGTTTACTCGCCGCATTGGCATCAGTATTATTAGGCCAACGATATAAGACCAACCTCCTTACCCAGAATGCTGACTACTTTTATGCGCTGATTCTTCACTAAGGTATAACAGACAGAGCAATTCTGCGGCCA